TGTTATTTTATTTTTATTTAATTTTTTTAAAAATTAGTTGTTCAATTAATGAATATGAATTAATTTATTTTGATTAATTAATTTGATAAATTAACATGAATTATTCACTTAGTTTTTCTATGTTGGTCAAATGTATATTTCAATGTCACGTAAGACCAAATTAAAGTCTATAAATATCACGTAAGACCAAATTAAAATACAGTGTATTATATTACTAACTTATCATATATGTCTAAATTCATAATATGCATGAATGGAGCTAATGAAGTCTTGGGTTATTATAACTTGACTAGACCATTCTAACAATTATTAAGTTACCGTTTGGTATCAACAAATCCCCTGATATTTAGTAGATAGTCCAATAATAACTTAATTAAAATGGTATCTAGTCAACAATAATTTAATTTCTTACCAAGACTATATTATCATATCAAATCTTTGTTGTTGCATTCTTTTTTTTTTGGTAATAAGAGTTACATTATCTCAAAGCCCTTAATTTCTTTGAAATGCTTCTCATTTTCTAATGAGATTAAGTAATTGGATTAATTTTTAAAAATAAAAATAAAAATTGACAAATAAATATATGGTAAGTTGGTGGAACAATCAAATGCAAATTTAAAATAGATTGCATTATATCAAATATTTCAACTTTATTCTCGTTTTTGTATCTGATCATTAACTCCTTTCCTTTCTTTTCTTTTTGAAATCTGATTGTTTTAATAATAAATAGAGTATATATAACAAAAATAAAATAAAAAAGTTCTTCATTTTTCCCAATTGTTCTTGCTCAAAAATTCAATTCTTCTCTCTTTTATGATAAGTTAAGGTTCTGCTTTTGATGATCATATGGCCAATTTGGAGGCTCAACGCTTGTAAGTGTTTATGTGTGATATATCACCAATTATTTATAGCAAAAGCTATTAAACTTTAGTGTTATTTTATACTTATATGAATGATGATTGATACACTTGATAATTATATTTGTTTTCCTAATTTTGTTTTGATTTTTGTTGTATGTGAATTTTTCCCTTTTTTTGACTATTATTAATCATGTTTATCCATTAATTTGGTTGTATTTTTTCAGACTTGATCAAGTCATTCTTGATTACATGTTTATAAAAGGTTTACATGAGACTAGAGAGACATTCCGCCGTGAAGTTTTTGCTAATCAAAATTATTATGGTAAGAAAGTCTTTTTAATAGTAAAAACTTATATATGTGTTTTTAGTAATGGATGTTTTTACTAAAATGGTTGTATATTCGTATGCTTAAATTATTTGATAATTCTTACATATGAATATATGGTACTTAGCGTCCGTTTGGATTGACTGGAAAAAAAAAGTAGTTTTTAAAAAGTAATTTAGATGACTTTTAAGTTAAAAATAAAAAGTAGGGAGGGTTCTACTTTTGGTTTTTAAAACTTTTTTAAGTCATTTCAAGTTATTTTATTTTACACAGATCTGATAGTGTTAAGAGCCATCTCATCCCTATTCTTTTTCAATTTACAAAAACCCATTAAATTTGGTGGAATCTGGATACATCCCGATACATTGCATCCAGATTTCGGATACATCTAGCAGCATCTCGATTTCGGATACATCACTCAATGTCTCGATACATCGCGTACGTCTCGATACATTGCGTAAAGTGATATATCCGACCAATACATTGTGTGAAGTGATGTATCTGACCGATATATTGCGTAAAGTGATGTATCCGATCGATATATCGTGTAAAGTGATATATCCGAGAATAGGAGAGACTAGAATATAATTTTTTGTAATTTTTTCAAATGGTTGAGAATTTTAGAGAATAGGGTAAAATAATTTAGGTGATTTTTCCTTATTTTTAACTTTGTCAAACAGTCTGATCAAAAGCTAAAAATGACTGATAATTATATTTGACCAACTTTTAAGTCAATCCAAACAGGTTTTTAGTGTGTTAACTATCCTTTATTATTCATATGCATGTGAAATAATAAATTCTTAATGCATGTGGAATAAAAAAGTGATGTGATAATGTGATATCAAACTTTGATGTAATAATTGTTTGATTTTTTGATTCATTTCAGCTGTCAATTCTTCTCAAGAAGCATTCCTGCAAATGTGGTGGAATAAATTCTATGAAGCATATAGCTTTGTGTACCCAAACGTTCCTATGCTCAATGTTGAATCCGTTGATAAGGTGTTACCCAAGAACTTTTTCTATACTTATTCATGTTTAAATTGATATGAATATATATTATTTCCAAACTAAATACTACCTGATTTGTAATTTTTTTCAGGTATCGTCAACACTCGAAAACGTCGTTACTAACAACGTTCATACACATCAATTAAATGCTTCTGATGATCATACGATGGAAAATACATCTAATAATGTGATGGACATACCGCTTTCACCTGATATGTTAGAGTGGCTGGAAAAAGAACCAATTTTAGAGGTTTCTGAACGAATGAATGAAATGAATGAGATTGATTTTGAAGTACCTGCAAATGCTTTGCTTACTTCACCAGAACTTATAGATGCAGGTTTGTTTCTTATTTAGCTTTAATGAAAATAATTACTTCGACACAAGTATTAATAAAATTTTCATATCTGGTTTGGTTGCCATATTTGGGATAACTTATCCCATCATTTATACCATAGTGATGGAATAAGTTATCCCAGGATAACTAATCTTGGGATAACTTGTCCCACCATTTATACCATAGTGATGGAATAAGTTATTCCAGAATAGCTAATCCCAGGATAACTAATCTTGGGATAACTTGTTCCCAACCAAACGAAGAGTTTTCTTTAGTACTATATCTTATAGCAAGGATCTTCTTTTGTGTTGTACCTACAGGGAATAATACATCTATTCAACAAGCATTTCATCAAGAATGGCCATCTAATGTAACAATGCATATTCAAGAGGAACAATTTCCAGGAATTACTACTGTATCATCTCCGCGACAAGTAGTTTTACCTGAGGGAGCAATTGAATATTACTATGGTAATAAGCTCTACCATGCTCTTACAAGTGATGGAGATTTCCTTCCTAGTCACATTGAAGGTGGAAACGTTGCAGGAGTAAGTTGAATATAATACTCGTTTTTAAGTATTTAAGAGACAAAATATATGTTATACTGATTAAGAACTTATTTTTGTTCTCTTTTTGGATAGGTGTTTGGTGATACAAATCAAAGAAACTCATGGAATGAAATAGCAGAACAACAAACAATGGATTCTCCTGAAAGAATTTTGAGAAGAGAGGGAAAACAACCTATGGTGGAGACTGGAAGAAAGAGGAAATCTCCATTGAGTTCTCTGGGATTAGTAAGATCAACTTCTTGAATCCCTTCATGTGATTATGTTTTCATTTTGCTATGTTATTGACATAAAGGGGTGGTAAAATGAGTAAAATTTATGATTTATCTGTTCGATTCAGATTAAATATGGATCAATCCATATTATACATGGCTATTCATTAATTGCACTCCCCTTAAGTGTGTAAGGGTGTAAGAATTTCTAAAAAGTACACTTACTATAAGGGTGTGTTTAGTATGAAAGAAATATATATTTTTTTTAAAATTTTAATTTTTTTATGCTTAGTTAATTTTAATTTTTTGGAAAATATTTTTTAAATAAACATATTTTCCTCTATTTTAAGAAAAATGACTTCTACACTGTATGGAAAAAAATATTCAAAACTTTTGTTAAATCAGAAAAATATTTTCTAGGAAAAGAAGGAAATATTTTCCTTCATACCAACCACCATAAACAGAGAAAAGGAATAAGAAAAAAAATCTTGTAATTATTTGTTTACATACTAAAAGAGTGGATAATATGGATATCTATTTGATTTATCCATATAAAATATGAGTCAATTTAGATATTTTAATTTATTCATTTTCACGTAACACATTTTCGATCTGACCCTGAATCGACTCATTAGTTTGCCATCCCTATTAACATACATCATCATTTTTTTTGAGAATGAACTTCCCTTTCTTAGTTTTTTCTTGTCTCTCTATATAAAATCTTCAAATACTTTATTCTTGCATATATATAATATATATTCCTGAGTTGTAGGTTGAGAAAGAAATTGGAGGTCGAAGTAATTCAATCGTTGTATCGACGCAAAAAGATAAACCAAAAGGTATGTAACAAAAATAGTTAATCCTATATAAGAATTGTACATATTTTTTTGTTAGGGTCAATATTCACCTAGATATGTTGTGTATTTAATGTTCTTATATTGAGGAAATGAATTTATTACCATAATATAATTGACTTTATATTACTTTACAGGGTTTTTTCTAAAAAATATTCATAACTATCGTGCTACAAATATTGAGCTCTTATGTTGTCACTTTAATACACAAGGAGAGTTTTTGGCTACTGGTGGACATGACAATAAGGTTTGTCTTATTTATTTTTTGTCAAATGGGAAAACACTTTTTTAAATCTCTAGCTTTTTTTGTTAATTAATTTGTATTGCTTTTTATGTTTTTAGGTTATGATTTGGAATTTGGGAAATAACGATTTTAGTAGTAGAGAAGGTCATAGTCAGGATATTACAGATATTCGTTTTAGACCAAACTCAACAATGTTTGCAACATCTTCTCTTGACAAAACTGTGAAAATATGGGATGCAGCTGAGGTACAATCTCTATTTCCATAATTAAAAAAATTATTCTCTTAAAGTTCTTGTGAAAGATTTATTTTCCGAAGAGTGTTGGAACGAATCTGTAACAAGGGACGATTTTAGATTGTGATTTTATATGGTATAATTCGTCTTTGTATGTGATTACGCTTTCTGACTAGTAAAATAAATTCAATGGTTTTGTAAACTATGTGTTTGATTATATTCTTCAATTTTTTTAAAATTTGTCTATATTACAACCATGATATTGTACATATGTCATCATTTTATCATTATCCAGCCAACAAAGACTTATAGAAACCTTGAAGGACATCATGGGCATGTGATGTCAGTTGATTATCATCCAACAATGGTGGATCTTCTCAGTTCTTGTGATCACAACAATGAGATTAGACTGTGGAATGTCAATGGAGGTGATTGCATGCTCAGTCTTAAGGTTGGTGTCTCTATTTTCTTCTTTTTTATTTTTACTTTTAAATGTAACGCTCCAACTTAAGACAAAAGGTTTCATATGAATAAAAATATAGGAGAGATGTTGGGCAGATATATAAGTAAGCATGTCTTATCAATTAGTGACGCGTATTAAAATCATGCAGGTCTTGAGCAATATCACTAGCGGGATATACCGTTACCTCTATTTAACATGTGGAGACTTCATAATTTGATAGTTAGCTGCTTTTGTTGTTTATATTTAAATTTAGAGATTTCTTAATTGACTGATTTGAAATCATTGTTGAATTTGTTTTACATAAACTCCTGGATTTAATTGTAGTAAATAATTTTCTTACCTTTCTTTCTTTTTTATTCCAACCAATTTCAAGATTTTAAAGATTAAGAGTGGATTATTATGTGAATATATACATGCAAAAAGATGTTTTAGAAAAGAAAATTTATTTGGTAATGTTATTTGAACCAATATTCTTATTAGACTAAACAACATATATACTATACAATTTTCAAAATATAGTGGTTTGTATAGAATTAACTACTCTGTCTCAATTTATATGATTTACTTTCCTTTTTAGTCCGTCTAAAAAATAGAGTATTAACACATTTCTATTCTTAAACTCCGTGTCAATGCAGGGAGGGAGTAGACAAGTTAGATTTCAACCTCAACTTGGGAGCCTTTTGGCAAGTTCTACCAATAATATCATAAATATTTTTGATATTGAGACTCAAACCATCCAGAAAACATTACAAGTAAAATGCTTATATATTCTTTATTATTAGTCAAACTTACATGTTGCATAACTATATTGTATAACTGCGATTTCATTTTCTATGATTTATAGGGACACGATGGAAACATTCTTTCAATCTGTTGGGACGTAACTGGAAAATACATTGCATCAGTGAGCGAAGATAGCGCACGAATATGGTCTATTCGTGAAGGAATGTGGATATTTGAATTGCTCTCTGGTGTGAATAAGTTTCAATCCTGCATTTATCACCCAGGCCGAATTCTAGCGTTGGTGATTGGTTCTAATAAGGTATATTCGTAACCTTAGAATGTTTTAGATATTAAATCCTCTCGAAGAATTAATAACTTTTTATTTGACCCTATTTGATACATGTCAAATGTTTTTGCAGGTTTTGGAGTTGTGGAATCCAATGTGTAAAGCAAACATAACTTCATCATATAGAGCACATGATGGTATAATTTCTTCATTAGCAGGTTTACGTGGTAAAGGTATTATAGCTTCAGTGAGTCATGATCGATGGATCAAGATATGGTCATAATGTATCTGTGAGAAATTCGGAGCAAAATCGATGGCTTGTGTACCTTGTGGCGGAAGTTTTTGATTTTTCTATCAAAATGAATTGTTTGAAAGTTGGATTGGATCGGTCCACATGGGCAATCCACGACCCAAAACTTACAGTATTTTTGTTTTCTTATCAAAATTGCATCAATAACTTATCCCTTGTTTGGATGGTTGCTACCCATTGGATTGGATTGTGTTGGTAATTTAATTACAATGTTTGTTTGGATTGTTACTTAAATTTTATTTGTATCGTATTGTTTAAATTCATCGTTAGGTAATGATGAAAAGACCTATTTTATGTAACGATTGACTTGGTGTGATCGTATCGTTACCTTAAAATTTTCTTTCTCATTTTGTCTTCATTGATTGCTGAATAATTATATTTCATCTTTTATCCTACCTTTTCTTTGTAGCTCTATTCCGTACCCTACTTTTTCCTATAGATTTATCATTCAAATTATAACTGTGTGACATTATATAACTATGGAGAACGATATAATATTATTAAACACTGTCTTCATTAAAATAATACAACACATACCCATCAATGAGGTTGTATCTCATATCAAGGAAGGTGACCTTATATATCTTTTTCCTTTTTTATCGTGTTTTTTATTCTCTCGTTTTTTAAGTGAAAAGTTCTAAAATTTTCAATAACAAATATTTTGTAACTGAAGTTTTATATTGAGTTTTACCTGAATATAGTGAAAGTTAATTGAATTGAATGAAAATAACAATTTGACTCTTTTTGAATCGCAACTTTTTTTCTACCTCTAATAAATGTATCTCTTCATCTTTAAAGTTATATAGGATGCAAATAAGACAATAAAATATAGGGTGCAAATTGACTCCTTTGTTGACAACAATTGTCTTTCTTTTTTATTAGGAAGTATACGAAAAATATATTGAAAATCATATAAATTGCAATACTGTTTACATTAAGGAAAAATTATGTTCTCTAAATATCAGATATTAGACACAACTATTCATCTTAAATTTTACATAACAAAACTAGAAAGCTACACAGCCTTAAACACAACAATAATCACCCAGCAGTAGTTCAAACATATCTTTAGGTGTAAGAAAAGTTGTTCCACCTAAAATTAATTCGACTTCAGGCCTGTTGCTCTCGGATAATGCCTCCTGAGCTTCTCGAACCTATTGATAGAACAAGGAGGGATTGTTATTTCACGTAGCACCAACGAGCATACTTCAATTGAAAGAGAAAGGATAACAGTGTTTTATAGTGATAGAACAAGGAGGGACTGTTATTTCATATAGCATCAACGATGTCAAGTAACTCTGTCCACCAATGCTAGGACAGATGAGAAGAATCACCTAGTGTTTTTTGTCTCCGATGAGTTTAGAACCTAAGACCTCAGGGTTCTCAACCACTTCATTGACAACTAGGCCACACTCTTGGTTGCCCATCAACGAGCATACTAGCAGTGTTTTATAGTCTTTTCGCTTTATTAACTAATATCTTAACCGTTGTTGCATATGTGCGTTGCAAATTCATTAAACCAAAATGAAAGCAGATACATGAAATGCACTGAAGAGTTCAAGGAAAACAAACCTCTACACCATTTATGCCTCCCACAACAAACACGAGAATAACATCGTGATCTGCTAGACTTGGTTTAGCCTGCAAAAATTCCAGAATCACATCAGCAACTTAGGCTAGCAATGAAAATATTGATATCTAATTGAATCATACCTGCCCAAGGCCGAATCTCCCAAACCCGCTTTTGAATAGGCGGCCAACAGTAGATGAATGATACTCTAAGCCAGGTACTTCATGCTTATCTAACACCCTTGATAGCACTTTATAAAGCAGTCCTTTGTTTGAGTAAGGATCATCATTGAACTTACTCAGAGACTGTGACCACTCTCTGAATGAAACATTCTTTTTTAAGCTGGACAATTTGTGAAAGAATTTGAATAGATTATCCACCCTATCACGTAATTCTAACTTTAATTGCATGTCATCATACACTTGCTCTTTTCTTTTATCTTTTCCAGAATCTTCATCACCCCAACTACCCCAATCGTCATCATCAAAATCAATGCTTTCGGTATTAGAAAGATCTTCCTTCTTCTCTTCTGATTTTCTGTTAAAGTTGGCTTCTAGATCCTGAGTTAAACCTTTCAGAAACTTTAATTTCGCAACTGTTGGGTTCTCAACAATCGCATCAACAATTGCTTCTTTCATAAAATGTTCCTCTTGCCAAGAGAAAGGACCAACAGTCCCAGAAGATGGGAAATTCTCACCTGCCAATATATATCCAACAACTGTGAGTAGCAGAGCATCTTGTAGAGTAAGAAGCCCCCGTTGAGCATCCATCTTATTATTACCCTGTGAACTAACTAACGCACTTTTATTTATGAGATCACTAATTTGAGCAGCAAGACTTTGGCTTGTGTCCCCAGCATTTACGTTCAGTATCTTCTCAGCACTGCTAAATGCATCCCATTTAGCACTATGTGATTCATCTAATGCAGATAGTGCTGCTGCTGCTAGCTGGATAATTCCTTTGTTTTTCGCCAGCAATGACTGGCTTTTAGCTAATGCCTTAACCATAGTCTGCAGATCTGATTTTGAAGCATAACCAGGACGGATTTTTGCATTCAATGATATATTTTCTCGACGTAAGCTTTCTTGCAGCCATTTCTTGATCAGCACAGCCCCATCTTTTGTTCTTCGCTCTAGTATGGCTTCTAGGTACGGTGTTCCATGAAAATTTTCCGTAGAGACGAAAGAACCACAAAGGTCACTCTGAAAATCTTGTGAGGACATTTCACCACTAAGTTTAGTGCTAAAATTCACCAACTCAACCATCTGAGAAGTTGAGTCTCTTGAATTCCAACCACGGAGAAATGCTTCAACGCTTTCCACCAGCTGAAAGTTGTAAGAACTTGAAGTATCCTCTCTTAGGAAATTATTAAGTGGTATCTGAACGGTGAGGGGAGAACGTTGCAAGTAAGCAGGGCCAAGTTTAACCTGGCTTTGGGAGCTTTTAGATTGACTCAAGGATGCCATCCGTTCTCTGTGAGGCAATGATGAAAACATTTGATCCACAAGTGAATCCCCATGATAGCATGGAGTAAGAAGGTCAAGAGTGCGGTCAATGAGTAATAGCCCTGCAGATCTCTTACGTCGACCGACATCATAAAGACTTGACATGTCTGTTAGAAGCTTTCCAACAGTTTTTGAAACATCACCCAGGGAAAATATCTCAAATTTCAGGTCCATCTACAAATTGAATAAATTAGCTTTCAAAATACAGGCTGAATGAGGCAAAATCTAAAAAAAACATAGATAACACGATTGCAATTCAATATATCAGTTGTTCAAAATCCATAATAGATTATTGCGATACATTTTTACTTTCTAAATGAAAATGTCCCACTATTTACCTTTTATTTCCACAAAGAGCTTAACATTGTGTTTATCCTCATGTTTTTTAAAAGAAGAAAAGGTCCAAGCTTGATCCTATAAATACTATTAGAAATTGCTCAATTTTTCCCTCCACTAGACCTTTGGTCCTTTCATACCCTTACCATTAGCAAATTGTCTCATACTCTCTTGCCATTAACAGAGCTCCAACATGAAATTGGTGGCCTCCACATGTCCAAATTTACCTCTGAATTGACTATGGTTTAACATTAACTTCAGATTGGAGCTCTGAAGAATCAAGGGCAAAAAATGAGACTTTCCTGATGGCAAGGCCGCGGGGGTAAGATTAGACAAAAAATCCGATAGACGGAAAAGTTGCTCAATGTCGCATAATACATGGTAAATTCTCCCTTTTTAACTAAAGAACATTAGTTGTACCTTTCATCTGTTATTATTAATTTAATTAATCTTGTTTATTAAAATTAAATATTCAGTGGAAAGCAGGTTTATTCCTTTAGGAATTTCATCTTTTTACAACTTTACAGCTAAATGACCGTTATCCTTAAATCTAACTGCTGTTTTTTGTTTTTATAATGGAATCCAACAACTAGTGTTTGTTATGTGTGTGTGTGTGTTAATTACCAATTATATAGTACTTTTGTATAATCCAAGTAGTATTCAATACATATAAATGGTGCATTGCAGAGGCTTGTACCAAGACAGAGATATGCCATCCTAAACACATTGTTAGTGAGAAGGTGTAGTCAAATTTCACTACCATTCTGGATAACAAGGATGCCAATTGGTGGACATCTTTTTTATTTTCAATATATGAATCACGATAGAAGAGAACATTCAAAATCGGTAAAGAAATTTTCAGACAAGTGAAAGCATGATTACCTTTGCCGCCAGATGATAAAGAAATTGAGCGGTAAGAGTTGCCCCAGGAGGGACATCCTCACCATCAGCAGTTGTCCCAGTACTTATTGGAGGTAACCCAAAGCTTATAGAGTTATCATGTTCAGCGGATAGGTACGCTTCGGCAACTGATCCTTCTGAAGGCAAGACAAAGAATCTAGGTGAAAAAGGACACAAGACCAGAGGGAAGTGATGCACAGAAACTTTCAACTTTTTCCGTACATCTTCGGTCCGGTCAATTACACTGTCTTCATATGAATTTTGTGCACTTGCAACAGAACTGAAATTAAAAGGCTCCTCTTCCCTGGTGGTTAATTGTGACCATCCTTCATCTTCAGCGGACGTACTTTCCTTTACTATGCTTTCTCCGGTATGACTAGAGTTCATCAGAAACTTTCTGGCAAGCTCCTCATAATCTTGGACAAGCAAAGATTCATATTCACGATATGCATCCGGTCCTAAAGGTGATTCAGGATATGCTGAGTGACCTGTCTGAAATAAGTGAATTTGGGCATACACTTAAATTGAGGTAAGACATTGCAGATTGATCATACAAGAAGCTATTAAGTGACAATTTCCTATGTACATTGGGTGGGAATGCCAATGACATATTTAAGACCTAACATATACCAGTAAAATAGACAACCTCGAAATCATTGCAGTAGGACATTAGTCCAAAAGCACTAGACTAAATTTCTTAAAACAGATAA